ACGTCGTCCAGCGAAACAGGGTTGCCACTCCTTAAAGGAGTGTATTTTATCATCTTGTGACCCGTCCGTTGGTAGGTTAAGAGTACAGTGACCAAAGTTTCTCTTTATCAATTTCGATAGCGATTGTTTCCATGCCTCCAATAATCACCCCAAAACCTGTAAAAATATTCAAACGAAATAAATGTAGTGTTAAGAAAATAATATTAATAAAAGTTCTCGACTCTTAAATTCCATAAGCAATTCAAAGCAATGAGGCTGCGAGTTGTAGGTTATATTCCTACTTCTAACTTTACGTTTACATCATAATATAGGAAAATAAAAACATCAACATCTAAACAACAGTCAGGTACGTGAAATTTTAAATTATTAAAGAAAAATCTAAAGAATGGAATATCTGACTGATCTCTGTCTCTTATACACATCTAGATGTGTATAAGAGACAGGTGTAGGCCCAATGAATTGATAATATTTCAGGCATCCTAATTTTTGGAAAGAAAAACACACAGGGACAACTTATTTTTTCTTACATTGGTTGTACCATGAAGGAATTAGTTGTACGGATTGCTATGCTGTATGATTACAGACAGGGCCCACACTTTGTCGATGAGATTATTACAAAACATAGCGAAAGTTATCCATGACGTCAACATACGAAGCCACGCCCCCTCGGCTGAACCCGTTGTATTTAGCATCTACCCTGACGTAGGCCTAATTGTCAAGCTGTAAAAAAAAAAGAAGACCCTTAGTTTTGGGCATAGGTAGGCCAAGTAGTAGGGTCTAGCCTAGGCCTAGTTTAGTACTTTCGTGGAGGTATTATTGAGAAGGAGATCACTCGGCAACAGATCCCTTTGACGCGACAAACATATGTGTTCCCCGCTTTTTCGTTAGCAACAACTTGGCAACGACATGCATTTATACGCTTCAGCAGAGCAGTTGTGCAATAAAACGTTTGCTTTTAACCCATTAAATATCTTTATAATGAACAATGTTCCCCTGATTAGATTTTTTCGGGCTTTTGGTATGTTATTATTTGTATATTTCAGGAACGGATTCCGTAAAATATTTATGTTAAAATTATTTCTGTGTTCATTATAATTTTGTCTAAAGATTGACTGGTTCGACTATAAAGCCAAGTCAGCGTAAAACTGAAAAATACTCAGATTTTGGATTCATTTTTCGAATAGTTAACCCTCGTTAACCCTAAAATGACTTAGTTTATTATAATCCTTAATCATTTATTAATTAATATCTGTTAAAATTAGAATTGGCGAATTTTGGCCAATTTATGAAAATTAAAGTTGAAATATACTATACTTTTATAGGTCATGTAAATGTTCCATTAAATTCGAAACTTTTCTTGTTGGAAAATATTAATATGTTTGATATTTTATGAGAGATAAATGTATCAGCTTCAAAATAGAAAAGATTGCGCAGCCATAGTGATTGACAGTATGTAGTGCGCACTGAGAAAAGAAGGTGGTCTCCATTTCGTCATGTTCAATTTTTTGGTAAACTATGCCTGCTGAAAATTTGATGGCGGGGAACACATGGGACTTCAAAGGCATCCCGCAAACGTTCTTTACGCGCTGCGGCAACTTTGATCTTGGTTCATTTGCAAAGCGCTGCGTGCGCGTAGCTTTGCCGAGTGATCTCCTTCTCAATAATACCTCCATGGTACTATTTAGTAGCTAGTACTAGTCATAGGCCTAGCCTAGTAGTAGTAGTAATGGTTTTAACTATTTTACTGTGCATCTGTCTGTAGGCTAGGCCCTACACTATTATTAGGCCTAGGCCTCTAGGCCCAATAGGGCCTAGTAGTAGGTCTAGTAGTAGCTAGCTAGGGCTAGGCCCTGCCCCTAGCCTAGGCAAGATTATTCAATGATAATCCCTAAATAAGCCTAGCTAGGCCTAGACTAGGCTGCATGACAAAAGAAAACAAACAATGGAATGGCCTACCTCTCTGGGTCCGTACTTAGAATTAAGGTGTAATTTTTCTAACAGTCTGGTAGATTAAAGTCGATATTTTTTCCCAAAAAAATCTACTAGGCTAAGTCTGAGTTTCTAGGCCTCACAAAATGTCACACTGATTTACTCTTTTCCTTACACACGCCGCAGGTAATGCGATTGCGTGTATCAAAAAAGATATGACGGCTCTCGCACTGTCGCTCGCTGACATTCATTTCCGCAATCCGCAATTCGCAATCAGAGCCGTACGTAGATAGAGAGATAGACTGGGCTCCAGTCCCTAATCTTTGTCTTTAAATCGATTTTGGCACCAATGGCGTTCCATATTACCTATTTGCTTGGCGTTTCATAGTATACTTTTTTTGGATTAATTCGCATAAAAGTTTCTCGATATATACCGTCGCTGGTGGCGCTCTCCAAAATTAGCTAATACTAGGAAAACCTCATAATTAGCGACTTGTAGAGACTTGTGGCAAGTCTAGAGTTTGGCCAACTCGGTTTCAATCATGTGACTTAAAGCCCCTCTCCCACTAGGGTTTTTTTCAGCATACGAGTTACAAGAGAATGCCGAGTTGCTAACTCGGTAAACACTCGTAGGACGATTCGGAAAGCTCGGAGAGGACTCTTACCTACTCGTAGCAGCTCTGAACTCGTGGCGCTAATTTTTAACATGTTCAAAATTATCGCCACGAGTAGATAACTCGTAGTAAACTCGAAGAACTCTTAGGTAGCTCGTAGAGTATTCGGGGTACTCATAGCTCGTACACTACTCTGGATATTCGTCGGCGGTTTTGTCATCTATGAGTTTGATGCGAGCACCCAAAAACGAGTACGAGTAAGTACGAGCGCACCGAGTTGGCTCGTACCTAACTCGTATCTAATTCGGTACAAACTTGTTACGCTCGTAATAATACTAATAATCTCGTAGTTAACTCGGTGCTCTGCTCGGCATAATTCGTACATAACTCGTAACCAACTTCATAAAGTCGTACCTCACTCGTAGCTATCACGTAATAAGCTCGTATAAGGTCCTTTCCAAAGATCACGAGTTTTAACTCGTAGAAATCGTTCGGACTCTTAGGTGAAATAAACCTAGGTGGGAGAGGGGCCTTACACCGGCTATGTTGTCACCAAAACAAAACAACGCGATAGGGTAGGAAGTTAACAGTTATTATAGATGATTAATGTGAAATACCGTTATTTTGGGTTTGGGGTTGCTGCAATCGATGGAGGATTTGGGATTTTATTTTAACTTTGCATGGCGATCGAAAAATCTCGCTATCCACGTCACGTAGTAAATTATAAGGCATGTACCGCCCGCCCCACTTCGCGATAATAATATATCCACCTACTACTACTAGGCCTAGACAGGCCTAAATTTCGGTACTTCTTCGGCCGAACACCTTAAGGTAGTACTTAAATCAGCTTAATTACGATGATAATTTATAAAAAAGGAAGAATTTTCAAGCAGCAATGATTTATAAAAAGATGCAATGTTGCAACTTTGCTGTTAAATTATATAACTAAATTTCCAGAAAGCTACATGAATCATGAAGTATCCGTCAAAGGTAGCTTAAATTATAATTAAAAATAAAAAAATTGAATCCTCCAATAAAAGCGAAAACTTGTCCAAGGAGTCCTGTGCTATGCAAACATGCCCAATTGTGCTTTACAAATCAATTAATTGTGCAACTAAAGATTTTAAAGATAAAAATATATTTTAAAGATATAGGCCTAATTGTATTATAATATATTATTGATTGTTTTAATACATATTTTAAATCAAAGAGTTTAAATGTTTTACAAATTACAAATCAAAATTTCAATGAATAGTAAATAATGAATAATAAATAATAATAATAATAATAATAATAATAATAATAATAATAATAATAATAATAATAATAATAATAATAATAATAAATAAATAATAATACAGTAATAATGATAATATTATAACTCACTAATATTATAAACAGAAGTGTGGAGAATGCTGCTATTTTACTTACAAGGCCTAGCTTCTTGATTATGAATGGTTAGGCATATGTTGTACAAAAATTTCTCTCAATGCAATAATTCTTCAACTTTGATTTATTGTTTAGATTACAATTTACAAATAGGCCTAGGCTATTTGTTGGTTTGGAAGATGACCAGCATATTTTATTTCATAAATTAAAGTTTACGAAGTCATAGGCCTAGAGGTCTAGATACAATTAGAAAACTTTCATGTTATTAATATTTTTATCATTCATTTACAGGCGAAATTAACATATTATCGCCGACGATTCACAAACCTACTCTGTCTGCACAACCAACTTTTAGGAGTCTCATGCTATATATAGAGTAGGCTGCTAGCAAATAGGCTTAGATGATAGACTTTCAAAACAAAAATATAATCGTAACGAAAAAAAAATAAAGAATCGTCCTCACTTTATCTTCTCGAAATAATACAGCACGTCACTGATTAATTAATTCCAAAGTTAGGTAAATATGATTATACAGTATATGATATTTACAACGATATGTTAAAATCCCATAATTGAATTGTCCTCATGAACAGAATAATAAAAGAAAGTTTATGCAGCATCAGTGTTTTATAAAATGTTATAAAGCTATACGCGCGCACGCTGTTTGGTGACAACATGGCGCCCATGCGCCAAGTTGGCCAAACTCTCTCTATCTACGGCTGGGGAGAACTACATAGTGCGCCCTCTTTTGATATTCAGGCTTAATTATTTTTCAAAATAATGGAGGGAAGTATGAAGCGAACGAGTAGTTTTCGGCGTACACTTTCTTTTCGCAAACGTCGCCGTACGTGTGAAAATATCGAAAATAAGAAACCACAGCGACGAAGAAGAGTATCTGATTTTGTTGTTTTTAAATTACTATTATTAAAATTATAATACTAAGACTAATAAATAATAATAATAATATGAATAATATGAATAATAATAATAAAAAATCGAAAATTATTTATTATTTATATGGTACTATAAATATATGTATTATATATATATATGTAATAATAATAATATCAGCAAAAATTTGAACAATATATAGTGTTAATGCTAAGACTAATAATTAATATTAAAACTAACGGTAATAAAAACAACAATAATAATAACAACAATGACAACAATAATAACCGCAATAGTAATAATTAGTACAATGTAGTACCAGTAAATGACTTGTGGCCGAGTTGACTTGTGGCCGAGTTGATTTGTGGCCAAGATGACTTATGGCCGAGTTGACTGTAGCCAAACTTTTTGTGGCCGAGTTGACTTGTGGCCGAGTTAACTTGTGGCCGAGTTGACTTGTGGCCGAGTTAACTTGTGGCCGAGTTGACTGTGGCCGAGTTGACTTGTGGCAGAGTTGGATCGAATTCGTGGTGGATGGCTGAGGAGGGAGTCTCTGTTGGCAAGGAGTAGGGCCTAGGCTAGACGAGTCTTATTCAGGCTTAGTTAGGCCTACCGAAGCTATCCTAGGCTGCTAATTTAAAATTAGTGGAGGTACTTAGTATAGCCGTAGCCTAGCCTATTTTTAACATTTAATATTCCCGTCATCTATACTGACTAGGCCTAGCCCCTAGGCCTATATACTATATATATGCCTAATTTTGTCCTTTAAATCCTATATGTAAACAATAGAGAAGTATGTGACCTCGTTCTTGAAAAACGTACAAAAAATGCTCTAACTTTTTTGTTTCTGTTCTATACATTTCTCAATAAAATAAAAAGCATTTGGAAGCACACAAAATGAACAAAAGAAGCATTATAAAACTCATTAAAATTTAATCATTTATTAATTAAATAACAATTAAATTAATTAATTAATTACAAATAATTACTTATAATATGTCATAATTGTCTTTACACATGCCTCAATGAATAAGACATTTGAAAGCACACAAGGAGAACAAAAGCAGTGGCATATATAGGGGTGTTCTGACCCTCACCCCCACACCCGACCCCACCCAACCCTCTTTCCTACCCTCCATTGAAAATAAATTTTTTTTCTCTTTCGTATGGTCGTCCCACTTTTACAGTATTTCATTAAAATATGATTATACATATATTACAATTTATTAAGTATTGCTATAAGGCCCAATAAAAAAAATTATTAGTTTATCACCCTCGCGCGCATGTCTTTTATGGTACTGAAAAAAAAAAAAATTGGGGAATTTTATTTTTTTTAAATTATTTTATTTATTAATTTTTTTCATTTATTTTATTAAATAGTTAGTAGATATTGTTTGCTTTATCTAAATCATGTTTTTCTTTGAATATCAATGCACCAGCAACCAACCCAAGGGGTGATATTTGGCTTTAGCAAAATAAAAAATAAAAACCTCCCTCCCTCATCACTTTTCCTGCCCAGATAGGGTGATAAACTAATAATATTTTTTATAGGGCCTAATTAAAATTAATTGGTTTCAGAACAATATAAACTTGAATAAAACCAAACATAACATAAAATCGATCGCGACAGTGTGTATATAAACATGTTGTCGTGTGCGATCAGGCAAGACCAGACATGCATGACCGCTCACGCTGCACTGCACGAACAGATTTTGGGAATTTCCATTCACAACACACTTTTTATTTTCGGTCAAAAACTAGGTTTTGGTGTTCAGATTATCTAAATATTACACCCAGTTGTAGATAAATACATAAACTAACACAATAAACTGGTTTCAGAACAAAATAAACTTATCTTTAAAAAAAATTGAATGTTTTTGACAATTTAAACTTTCGGCAATAAATTCACTCAGTTCCCGAAGTCGGAAAAAATTGATTTGATGACAAGGTGAAAGAGGAGCATGTGAACTACGTCATCACTGTTTTCGGGTCAAAGGGAAAAAATAAATATGACCTCTGCAGCAAAAACAATAGAGGGCTGTTGCAACAGTCGAGTCGCTGGCAAAAATGATAGCGGTGCCACGATATCGCGCTTGCAACAGCCGATAGTCACGTACCTATCACTAGGCTTAGGCTAGCCTAGGCCTACTAGCTAGGCCCTAGGCTTTGCCTCCTAGTAGGCTGAAGAGGCTACACTGTAGGGCTTGGGGTATTTTTAATTGTTAATGTTCAGACTCATTGTTTTTTAAATGCAGTTGGTGCTGCCGAGCTGGTTTTTTACAACTTTACTGCTCCTCAATATAATAAACCATACTTTAGTATGTTATCTGCGTCGAAATGGATGATTATAAAAGCAAAAAAAAAAAAGAGATATGAGTCCTAGGAAACTTCATTGTCCATTTATAGAGGCTCTAGCATTTGTTTGTAGGGAATTTTCTGGCTCACTTCACTGTACACAATAGAACTTCTCCACTCATGATGATGTTGAAATTTGTTTGATATTTTTGTCTGAATTTAATGCCACCTTTCTATAACTTTAAGAGCTATGAATTAAAAAAATCATCACAGTGTGTATGGGGAAAGAGATTTGTTCGTTACAATAAGTAACAAAACAAAAGTGCTAATAAATACTTTACTACTTCATATAAAGGCAGTCTAAGCACATTGTTCAGCCTGACTTACTACTAGATACTACCTATTGTTTGTGTTGAATTCCATTTCTTTTTAGGTTTAAATGCAATGTATCTAAAAACAGGAAGAGAACTCTAAAACTCAATGAATAGCACCCTCTAGAGTATCTTGTTATGTTTTCATAAGTTGACTCGCCTTGATTGGATATCAGTGTAACAATACACTTATATATGTTATTTCATACTTTAGAATTTGATAAAGATCAATCTGATTTTCCTTGCATGCAACCTCATTTTTCTTGCCAGTTTCCCAATCCTCTTATCAGATTAAGTTATTGTGTAATTTAAATATTTAAATAAGTAATAAATTCTATTAATAACTTTTGTCTAGAATGTTTAACACTTTGATATCCTGCCTGTGTTGAGCTATGAACAGTATAAAGCTACATACACATGATACGACGACGACACGATAAAAATGTGCTGAGTGTTGAAGAATATAAACGACGCGATGATAAGTCGTCGTTATTGTGTCTAGTTATATATAATTTTATTCAGTTTTTTAATTGTTTGCTGTGCATTTTGAAGTAAGTTAGAAAATGCTCCAAATGCTAGGATTAATTGTATCAAAATTAAGTGGGTTAATAATGGTGGGTGGAGGGTCATGAAATTAGCTTTAGACTGGGTGGAAAATTTCAAGGCTGGGTGGCCCCATCCAGCTCCACCCACCATAACTACATCCCTGATAAGTGAGAGTTATTATTTTAGTACTGATTATACCAGGGGTCCCAAGTTGTGAAAGTCAAATTCTTGGCGAATTTGTCGTGCAGGACAGGCAGAAGTTTGCAAAGGTGTACTAGTTAAAATGTGTACAGTACAAGGATAGCACAAGTCCTAATTGTTAAAATCTTGAGGAAAATCGAAGAGAAATTAAAATTCCAGGAGAAAATATGGAATTTACGGGAGACCGGTAGATGAACAAAATTTCCTGGAGACTCCAGCGCAATCCAGGAGACTGGGAGCCCTGCTACTACAAAATGTTTATTATGTTTATTAAATATTTACTTGATTTTTGTCTGAAAATTCTAATGTAGCAGCCATTTTGAATTTTTTATGGACTATCAAAATGGAGGATTAGTCTAAACGTTAATTATATTTGTGACCTAACAACACAAGTTTAGTGTACTGTATGTTACCACATTTTGTTATTTTCCATATTTTTATTTTGTCGCTTGAGTTTAAATGCATCATGATCAATTGTGTATGTGTTGTTTGAAACAATAAACTTGAACTTGAACTGCCAAACTACAGCTCTTGTTGCATATTATGGTGTGAAATTTGAATGTATTCTACAACATTGCCAGTGGCGGAAGATGTCGCAATAATGGTCATGTTAGAACTGTAAGTTATCCGCACAGATGAGGTCAACAATCTTAGGTGATTAGTAGAAATATATTATAACATAATTTGATCAAATTTTTGAAAATTGGAATGTTAGATTGTTTGCTACCTGTCACTGTGCCAGTTTTTTTTTTTTTTTCGTTGGGTGTGCTTGCTACCATCTGCCATTTTCCAAGGTGTATAATTCCTTTAAAATAACTGCTCATTTTTTCAGGCAGGCTGCAAAGCAATGGAATTGATTTTATACAAGCATTCTGATATTGAGATTTATATTGTGGGACTGTTTAGAGTTCAGCATCAGATCTAACAACATAAAATATTATTTTATGGTTTTAACTAGTTTTTATTGTTTTTTTTTTATTTTAGTGTATTTTACCGCATTTTGTTAAATTTTCATGTTTTTACTTTGTTGCTGATGTTTAAATGCATCAAATATGCTTCACTGTTATGGGAAAAGCATATTTCTTCTTGAATAAATTTAATAAATATCAATTTTTCTTATTAAATCATTGTTGTTTTGGTTGTTGTTTACTGAATTCCTTGTCATTCATATTTTTCTCACCTTTTTTCACTTGCTAAGCAACCTGTAAGCTGATTTGACTTCAGATTGTACTTTTGTGGTTGTACCTGAAATTGAATACACTCCTCCCTGCTGTGAATATTCAACACATATAATGCAAAGCAGATTGTTGTCAAACTTAAGTCCATCTCATTCACTTAGTAAGTTATGTCAAAGATTTATAGCGCAGAATTTTTATTTTTGTCTATTTTTGTTCTTAATACAGTAGATTATAATACTTAATAGATAAAAATAAATATTGATTTACTCGCCTGACAGGATTTCCAGACAGAAAGTTAACTGAATCAGTCCAAGCATGGAGCTATAACTTAAAACAGAAAAAACTCTGAAAACTGAGATGTTAAAAGCTACAGTACATAAAATAGAAATTTGTAGGACATCATAAATTTTGCATCAACAAAGGTTTATGCTAAAAGGAATCGATGAAATGTAGGCCTGTCATTTTAAAATTTAATTTTACATTATAAATTATTTCTGTGTTGTATCATCATAAAAAATGAAATGAAATTTGCATATATTTTGTCCTTTGCTCTTCCTTTTATTTATACGTTATTAATTAAATGGACTTTTTAAAAACACCAATTTATTGTCAATTTGCGCCCGTGAGCAAAACTTTGTTTTGGAATTCGGCTCAATACATCAGCAGTGGACTGATTAAAGGTCATAAATAAATTTTTGGTGCATTGTTTTATTCATAATAATAGAAATAACAAATAATATAAATTGTGAATTAAAAATGGTTAAGTATATAAACCTAAATAGGTCTTGTTGCAGTAAATTCCATAAAGCTATTTAAATTCTATAATGTGTAACTAGACAAATTTTGCTAGTAGAATGTTCAACTTGATTTCTTGTATTTCTTCAGAGGTATTAATAAATAAAATTACCATTTCCCCAACATCCAAAAAGTAATTATTCCATTGTGACAATTAACTTCCCATACAGTAGTAATAACAGCCTTTAGCAACAACTGATTTTAACATCAATGGTAATAATTAACAGACATGAGCAATTGTAAATTTTGTAGTTTTGGGATTTTGCCAACTCAGACTGTTGATAAAATACAATGGCTTTTATGAGAAGACTGTTCTAATCAGATTTAATTTTAATTTAATATAGTAGCTGGAAGGGTAGAAAGATTTGAAAGGGATAAACATACATTTGTATTAATGTAGGTTTACCTTCCCCTCAGCTAGAGAGATCAATCATGACTGGAGATCTGAACTGAAGAAATCACTTTCTCAAATGACTAACCCATTAGCCTAATTAAAACTTGCTTTTTAAAATGGCAATACAAGATTATAGAAGCATTATTGTGGGTGTGATCAGGGCAGTGTGATAGTCAATGCTGCTGTTACATTAGTTTAAAGCATATTAAACCGGGTTAATATATATTTATACCGGGTAAACTGCTTTACAAAAATAAGAGCATAATAAAACAGGGAGCAAGGGACTGAATGGAGCATCATATTACAAGGTCAGTTTCATTCTAGCTCATGACCCAAGTCACTATACTTTATTATAGTGAGTGGAAGCGTGTTTGGAGAGACCTGCTGTGCTCTACCTCACGCAGTTTGAAGGCATTACTGTTATTCTCCCATGCCTCCATGTTTTAGTTAAGCACACACACCGTCCAGTATTCCTCACCCTCGTTGGGTACGCTGTCGTCTTTTATCGTCGTTAATTGTGGTGTCCTACTGTATTCATTTTGAGATGGCTTAGAAATTTAGTTTACTTGTGATTGTACTTTGTAGGTAAGTCTTTTGTTTTTGGCAAGAGGAACATTGTATTCCGCAGTCTCAGAATTGAAAATAATATCTTTTAATACCATAATAATGTAAATATATTACAGCAATTCTTAATAATTGGTTTTGATTTTAGGGATGATAGCAATTTTTGATTCATGATGTTTTGATGTTTCAGATTTATTTTAAATAATGTGAATTCTAAAAATGTTAAAATTTATATTATTGAAAAGATAAAATTAAAATAATTATTTTAGTAGGATATCCTCTAAATTAAAATCTTAAAAATACTTCTATTATTTAATTACACCATTGGTAAAGATAAAGATGGGGTAACTTACTAGTAAGTTACATCTTTATTTGAAAATCCTTCAAGTAACTGATAGTTTTTATTTCACTGGAAGCTGATAAATTATTTAAATATGAGTCCTTATAAAGTATTACACAATTGAAATATTGACTGTTATTGTTTTATTACCTGAATACCTTTAATTATTATTTAATGATATGAATTGTAAAAACATATTTTAATTATCTGGTAATTGCTGTGATAAATTAATCTAATATAAACATAATGATGATAATGTGTATCAATATTATTATTATTATTTTAATTATTATTATTTATTGATTTAATATTTGTTGCCTAATAATAAAGATACACCATACTGTCACATTTTATTAAAATATTAGAAAAGTATTAATTGCAATAATTTAAACATTCAATAAGTTGGCATTTGACTGGAAATTAGAACAAGATAAAAATGTTCTTTCCAATTATCTTGGCATATACCCTTTTCTACCATCAAATTAAAGTGACTGTAAATCATTAATAAATGGGGTTTTTTTAAATCTGTAATTTATTGAAAGTTGATGACATGGTTTTTAAAAAATGAACAGATAAAATTTCTTTTCCGTTTTCTTTCTTTTATGTTTTTCATCAATTCTTGGATGACAGACTGTACATCCTTAATATAATAAAGTAATAACCTGATAATTTTAAAATCAATACAGTAATAATATTTAGATGAGCTAATTTCATGGTAAACATGAAAACCATTTTGAATTCCATTTACATATTAATATGAAAATTATAATAGAAATGAAGGAAAGATAAATTGATAAACTTCTATAAAATTTTAAAATCTTATCAGCAAAATTAAATATAGGAGAATGTCTTATTGTACTAATTGATTTTTAGTAGTCGTAAGAAAAAAGGCAGCATTGGAAGTAAAGAAAGTAACATAATATAATTATCTAAAATTACTTGAAACTAAGACCGAGACATAAAACTTAAAACCTGAAGAATCCAGCTAGATTTAACAATCAATACACAGTTCTTACCTTAATATAATATTATGCAAAAAAGTAAGCCTAACTATACCATGGTAATACCAACCTGATATCTTACTATGGTATATTGATCCTGTATTGGCTAATCCACATAATCGCTGTCGTACAACCACCAAGGTCTAACTCCAGTCTTAAAAATAATCTTGTAAACTTCATTCATCACTGGTGCTTAAAAAAAGAATAGGACCAAAAAAAATATAAAATCATGTTTCCATGATGTTTTTTATTTTGCCTAACTATATCCCACAGGATTTTGGCAGGAATTAATATTGTTAGAAGAATAACTAATGATAATTACTTCCTAACATGTAATACTGTACCATGTAAAAAGTGCCTCACCTGATTAATAAATACCAAGATTAGGAAAGAAAATATTTGATGAAAATAAACAATTCAATAATGTTAATACTGCTTACACATGATTTAAAGTGTCCACTAATCAAATTAATATAAGGATTATAAGAAAGCTGTTCCTTCAAAAAGAATGGATATAATAAATTAGATTCAACAATAAATAATAATAATACCAGAATGATAATAATATAGGCATGTTTATAAAGTGGCTACTCATGCACAACCATACTTAGATTTAATACCAGGATCAGGAAATTTCTTAGACGAAAAATACAGCTTTTAGGCCAAATAAAAATATAAATTAGTTCCTCATTCCTACCTGCTTCCTTTGTTGTTGCTGCAACAATTTTAAATTAGGTTTTTGATTTATTTTTATTATTTAATTCTTATTTTATTGTAATTATCCTCCAGCCTTGTAGTTCTTGATTGATTATTAAAATAGCTTGTTACAATATTAATTTTCATACAGGTAATTCTTCCTTGGCCCACCTACACAAGATTTAGTGTAACCAAAGATATTATCGACTAGAGTTATAAAAGCAGAAGTCGAATAGGGGAATTTTCTCCTTCCCTTTTTTTTTTTTGTTTTTTTTTTAACAAGAAATGTTTTTGTTTTTTTTTGGGGGGGGGGAATATTTGCCCAAATTAATTTCAATATAATGCTGTTAATTTTAACACTTTTAAAGTCCAATAACAATAAAACTAAAAATATCTCAATTCCTATTTAGAATATTGTGTAAAACTATACTATGCAAGCTTTAGCTACCTATTAGCACTCTACGCGTTGAGCTCAGAAAATCATGAATGTTTTTCTTATTTGTAACAGCATTTTGGAGATTTGAGGTAGATGTCAAGTGGCCTGCGGATCCACTTATCTCAAGTCTTTAATCCTGACAATCGGTCAACTGCTCATAGCAGCGTCCATGTGGTGCTTATTTAACAACCAGATACCATACCTAAAACCACTCATTTTACACTGATAAAATATATTTACCAAGAACAAGGAACATTTCTGTAAAGGGAATAATAATAACACCACAATACTAGTTCAGGGTTTAAACCTGAAACCGTAAATACCAGTTCGGGGCCCAGCCCACTGCCCCTAGGAATGTTTCACTCAACCCTCGATACACACTCCGTACGTCAAGATGTCGGACTATAGCAGTACCCAGCATATCATCGAAGACTTGGACTTGTTTTACTTTAGGCAGCTTGCCATAAGTCTACAGGTAAATCATAGAAAATATTCTCTTATGAATATTCATATAAATTCTTGCATGCATACTTGGCCTAAATTCTACTCTTGCCCTGATATTCGTAGCATTTGGCACTGCAACCCTCTAAGATTATACTAATGACAGTGTATATGTATGTAGTACACATAATTTGTATCTAAAGTACCTACTTAAAAAATTTCAATTATCTCATTTTCTGTTTTATTGCTTCGTACATTTCTAGTAGTAAAGTATTCCTATAATTAGAAAGTAACTGCTGCGAATGATTAAACTACCATACTGCCAAGATTTGCTAATGAATATTAGCACTTAATATATTACGTAGATCCTAATTGGTGATTTTTGGCTCAATAATCATCGTAATCTCTGACATCATCATTCACGTCTAGCAGTTACTTAGCCTGTTCAACAACACACTCACCTTAATATGGTGTAAGGCTATCCAAGTTGTGTTAAACAAAGTGATTAAAGTCATTGTGCTGTCGAGTGGGTTACTAACAACAGCAATAGATGTTTCAACCAATCAGAAGATACCTCTAACGAAGATACAGTTCAATATGTTAAAAAGATCTTTGTACAGAATAACATTTATCCTCAGTTAAATACTGATCTTCCTATTGTAAGTTTGTGTACAGCAGTGCAGTGGGTTATAATGACAGACATTAATGACACCACTACATCAAAGGTAGGTGGAAGATCAAACAGACCGGATGACATTTGTCTATTTGTACATCAGTTTGAACGGAGGGAAATATTTATTGAAAAATCTGTACATATTTTACAGTTGACTGAGAAAAATTGATTAGGGTAGCATATAATAACAGTAGTAGATGTTAATATCTTAGGCATGTATGTGGCTTCATTTGGCTTGCTAAATAGAGGAGTGGTTGATTGATGCATGTAAGATTGTTGTTACTGGCCATATTTAACATGTTCCATAAACATCCTGGCTGTGTTTAGACCATTACAAATTGTAAGGTCTTTACTAACTCTTGTACTGGTATTATGCATTAGAAGGCCATCTTTACTGACTGCTTACAATATAATTCTTCCAAACTACAGTCCAGTATCAACGTGTACAATATTAAACCATACATGTTTACTCCATGAGTTAAAATTACCATATTTTTTAAAGTACAGTAATACCCCATACTGTACAAACTGTGTCCGACCATCTTCACTGAATTCAAACATATTTCTAGAAAAATATATTTTGAGAACATGTTCTAATTTTATATTAATGATATTATTTTAAGAATAACTTCTTACAGTAGCTGTCAAGACCAACTGTCTGAATGCAAAAATGTCATATTTCTTCAAGACAGCTATAATATACACACTCAGTACCCACTGATACCATAGTTAATCTGGTATATGCCCACCCCACCCCCTGAACACAAAATAGGGCCGATATTGGGAGTGGCTAATATCTGGAGAATCCCATTCTCAATCAAAAGGCAATTTTTCATTACTGCATGCCTAATTCAAAGCAAGATGTGTATAAGAGACAGCAATACACAGTTCTTACCTTAATATAATATTATGCAAAAAAGTAAGCCTAACTATACCATGGTAATACCAACCTGATATCTTACTATGGTATATTGATCCTGTATTGGCTAATCCACATAATCGCTGTCGTTGTAAAAGTCAGCTAAGCTACTCATTCAAATTGTACCCTGGGCTTTTGCCCTAAGAGTGACTGGTACGTAAAATTGTGCGTAAAGAAGGGGGGTGGGTTTATACCCAAGGAACTATGGTTCGTTGCAAATTTAAACTTAAATTTCTACCAAAATATTTAATTTCTACCAAAAAATTCAAACATGTTATCAGAAGCTAACATAATATGTTTCTGTTATCATCCGGCTGACTAGCCTACTCCTACTCGGCCAAGTCTTGTTAACAGCTGCAGTACCAAAGCTTGTATAAGTCAAACTAAGAAAAATTTGTATTTACTGGTACTGTAGTATTATTGTTTTATTACTATAAGGACAAAGTGGGTGCCTATAGGTTTGAATGTCATTGTGCTAATTACTAGCTCTTCTACATTATGGAATACTCCCTAGGGAGCTGTGTATATGAAACAGCAGCAAAGTTCGCTTAATTCGCAGTAGCCATTACATGTTCGCTGAACCGTAGAGAGCCTTAGATAACATTGGCTCATCCCTGCATTGACGTGTTTCAGTTGGAGAGTTTTAATGCAATATGTAGTACACCGTTCTTGAAAGAGATGTTGAAACTGTCAAGTCCTGTGTGCAGTTATGGTCCAGGTGCATGTTAAAGAATGTAGTATGCTCTTCGCAAGCATTTGTCTCCGGTTTTACTAGCAATAGACCATCATTGGAAATAACTCTTCGAACTTTCGCAGGTTGTCATTGGTGTGTTTTACACAAAAGAAAATAACGCTGTACCCACATTGTGTGTTTCATAGTCATTATATGATAATTATTACCAATGTAATATAGTGATATGTATAGAGGCTTTGGCAATCCAATGTACAAGACCACCATTATTGTTGTTGTTTTTTATGTTATTGTTGTTATTATCTTTATCATAAGTCTTTACCTCCTTCTTCAGGACTATGACATCCAGCAAAAGATTGACCTTGAGATCAAGATGCGTGAAGGCACCGCAAAGCTGCTGGCGGCGTGCAAGAGAGAGACGCAGTCATTGGAAGCGGCCAAGAGCCTCCTTATGTCAAATGCACGTGTTATGGCCTACATGTCAGAACTGCAGAAACGAAAGACGGCAGAATGCATGGAGAGGGCGTCTGGAAATTCCATGAGTAGTGAGGAGATTCTCATTCCATGTAAAGCTAAGGTTGCTGTCTCAGGTACATATGTTATGCTTTTTCCTATATATTTCTCTGTTGCTACATACTGTAGGCCTACAATTATCTGAAAATTTGCTGCTATGTTGCCACATCTATCTAATGCTTCAAAATTATTGCTACTAACCTATAGTAAAGTACGTTTACATTCCTGTGGCGAGTCGAATGCCCGAGCAGGGTTGCCACTAACTACAGCCTTAATATCATCGCTGCTCCTCACCCTAGGTTTGATTGGTAAAACCAAGTCTTCTCGGATATGGAGGAGGTTCAGCGTACACATGTCCCTTGTGTGTGTTTTAAAGACCCATTGCATCTTTCGAAAGACTAGGGGTTACCCTTGATGCTAGGGTTCATTTTAGTCCCCGTCGTTGTGGAATGATATGAACATACTATATGCGCTTCTTTACGGCGGCCAGGTAGTCACAGACCATGCCCATATGCAATTCAGCAGAATAACGCTGCAAGTTATGGATTATTCTCCTACTTTTACGCTTTCTTTCTACTAAACTGTCGGCTATACTGTGGCTTCCACTGTGTGTGTGGAAATTACTTCAGAACCTTGGTCCCTGTTCAATTCCAGCACTGCTCATCTTGTGCTTCTAAGATTGAAGTTACAATAGTGCATTGCATTTTTGGTGCAGACATTTAAGCCTTTGTTCTTGTGTACAATATTACATGGGACATGTGCACATTAGGAATGCAGTACACTCTTTGGAAAAGAGCTGGGGATTACATCTTCTAGTGTACTCCACTGCCTAATCACCACAAGAACCTAATTGTGTTGTCCTTGGTGTTTCATACCAAAGAAATTTAAACAGAGGAGTCATTAAATTTTTGCAATTGAGATGCTCAATTTTTTAAGAAGCATCAATTAGAATTATAGTAGAATTGTCAATATACCCTATCTGCTACTGCTAGTAATTAATACAGTTATAATAATAATTGACTATGATAAATGTGTGTTATGATAACTATAATTATGTTTAATTTTTAAATTAATTGTAATTTATGCTACTGTCAATAATCTATTGATTACTGGTTATTATTTGCCTACAGACTACAAAAATGTCTGCCAACTGCAGGCCTTGGCCTTTGAGAAAATATATCAAGAGTCACAATTATGCAAATTAGTTAAAAACCAGAAATCTGTTTCAGATAGATATTTTACCACCTAAAGCCAGCTTCATAGTTAGGCCCAACAGAGGTGTGACAAGTATGATTGAGTATAGTCTTAAGTACACACCGCCTGCTGGCTGAATTTCATACACCTGTCTAGTTACTTCAAATTAAAACAGCAGCCTAGGATCCTGGTTGACCCACATTGGTTCAAGTGAAACAGTTCTAGGCTAGGGATACAGAACTATTTGTAGTTGGCAGAATTTCTGGTATATATAGTAACTGTATTTTGATCAATTTGTTTGAAAAAGGTAACTGTCTTGTTTCAACACCTTTGCCAGTGTGACTCATAACCAGTCAACTAGACATTGATTATTAATGAGCCTCCCAGTGATCATCGTCTGAACTGTTAAAAACTAATAAGCAAACATTTTACAACGTAGTAATTTCAAATAAATTTTCAAGAGCAGCAGTTCATACAGAAAAATTAACTGTATAAAATAAGGAAACAAAATCAAGCATGATATTTTATAAATAAAAGTGCCTAGAAGAAAAATTCACACCCAGAATGTTTTCAATTTTGTTACTCATAAAAACATTGTTTATTATATTATTTAATTTTGCCAGAAAGTATCATAAAATATAATTTGGACAACATAGGATTGTCCAAATTGTTGATGAACTTTCTCTGTGGAGGGATTCTTATCGGACAAATGTAGGCCAACCATTTAATTACAAAGGCCTATCAGGAAACAAAACCCGCTAAATCAAAAACTTGACCATCAACAAGTCAGCAGTATAATGTCTATTCTAATGAATAGCTTATTTATACCTAACACCTGCAGCATGTTCATCCCAGATTCAAAGAATATACAAACATGGAAAAAAAAATCTGCCATGAGATCATTTTTGGTCTGCTGTAGAGGAAGTTGATTTTATGCCAAAAAACTGTTCTTTGAGAAAAGATTCTCCTCCATATTTACTGCCACTTCAGGAAATAATCCTTTGAATTTATCTGTCTTTTGTAATCAGCAGAAACATACCTTATTATTCAAGAATCCATTAGGATGACATGGAATCATTATTAATTGTTATAAGGCCCAATAAAAAAATGATTAGTTTATCATCCCTACCCGCATGTTTTCTTTAGTATTGGATAAAAACATTTTGAAAAAATAAAAAATTTTTTAGTAAATAGTATATTGTAAAGTATATTATCTCAATCATGTATTTCACTTTAAATATCAATGTACCATCAAGCAACTCAAGGGTGATATTTGGCTTTAGAACAAAAAATATCTAAAAAACCTTTCTCTCTCCCTTATCACTTTTCTAGCCTAGCCTATAAATATAAGAATAATTTTTTTTAAATGGGCCTAAAAGATAATAATGATTGATAATGATATGATAATAGTGAAATAGTAATATCATTATCAAAGTAATTATGATAATTATAATTATTTTCATGGTGGTTGATGTTAATATACTGTAATGCTGATAATGACAGCCTTTTTCCTTAACTAAGATTTTTAACTAACTACTATTTTCTGTTCATGCTTTAAATGAATGTGTAACCTACTCTGCCCCTGGGGAGAATTTTTAATAATGCACATAATCAGAATAGATCAAATGATTTTGTACCCGTATACTCTTGTGTGGACAGAGATAAATGCTTTTAAATTGTGTTCCTCTGGCAAGGACACAAGTTAATGAACCCTCAACTGGTCAAAGGGCTGTTTCACCAAACAAGCTTCCCATTGTCTTTATGGTTATCTTTCATATTATTATTATTATTATTATTATTATTATTATTATTATTATTATTACATTGAAAAACTGTTTTTTATTTCATTTCATTTATTAATTTTGATATATGACAAATACATTTTCAGTCTAGCTTATATCATCTGTTAGACTAAATTAAACTTTTTATGTCAGTATTTGTGTAACTACAGTAATTTTATTAATGTTACTTGGATTTAACATTAATAATTGTGATACAAATGATAATTATTAAAATAAATGTATACTTTAGTAAAAATATTTTTTATTTATGATTTAATAGTGATTTAATGATGATTGAAATTTATTCAAATACTATTTAACATAACTATTTATGTTTCATTTTTTTTAAATTTCTATACTTTACAGATCTTCGGATACCTATAGTCTGGAAGGAAGAGGATCATATTATGAACAAAGGAGGTTAGTTGCTTGCTTGCTTCACAGTGATCTTTCTCACTAGCCCTCCCCCCCCCCACCCAAATCTGAGTTACTTTTGTGCAAAATGCTCCACCCCGTTATAAGCCAACCCCATAACTTTATGGAATTTTTGTGCAAATTGATCCACCCATGTCTAAGCTCACCCCCTAACTTTAGAGGTTTGAAACGGAAATACTATAAATTATGTGTGCCTTCAGAATTCTGAAAGTATAATGTACCAAGTAATGGCATTGAAATTGTAATTCTTCATTGTGAGACCAACTGTTCTGTACATCCTAGGCTTGGTTGTCTGCAAGGCCTAGAATTTTTCAATGCCACCTCACTATTATAATTCATTTTCCAGTCTGTAGGCACAGGACTATCACTTACTCAACAGACAGATGACAATATTGAAATTCTTGTAATTTACATTCAAATATATTCTGTATTTTTTTAAAAGAGGCGTATATTCAGTTTTTAAAAAAAATTCTGCTATTTTTGTACTTTACATTTTAATTTTAATGTTATGGTTTTTTTTTTGCAGACCACAATCGATATGCAGTGTTTTGTTTACTGAAAATTGGAACTGAGATTTATGACACAGAAATGGTGACAAACGTTGACCGCCAATCAACTGACATTAATTTTGATGATGTCATTATTTTGTGAGTAATTTTCATGATGCCATTACTTTTAATTATAGGTTCCAAAAGGAAATTTGTATGTCCATAATGTATCCAGAATTTACTTCAATCGTGAATTTTATTTACCCATAAGTCATCAATATTATTACCCATCGGCCTTCATATTTTTATCCACATTTCAGCTTTATTATCAAAGAATTACATTTGATTGTCTTTATAAAATACTAATAGTAATTTCTTAATTTAGGAATACTTAATTTTTACAAACTTACTATAGCATTCTTCAGCAAATGAATAATTACAAAAGGATATTTTTACAATTTACCAACTAAGGCTGTCAAATTTTATGTGACATATTTATATGATGTGCCCATATATGGGCTTGATGATGTTATATCACACCCAAATATGGGCATATTAGGAGTTATTTGTCACATAAAGTCTTCAACGAATGAATAATTTTAAAAATGTTGAAAAATATATTCATAAAATTGATGATTTTAGGTTATTTATTTAGTAGATAACTCCCAAAAAATATCTTTACATTTCAATGGGCATAAATTTACTTTTTAATAAAATAATTGTCTTACCCTGGATCTGAAGATTAGGAGGTAAGCCCCTAAACCACTAAATCAGAACTACTTTTCATCTAATGCACTATTGACATAGAGTGATGCTGAATTTCAGTTCAGTGAACTGTTGAACTGTCTCTATATTATCTCATCTAAAGCACTTCTAATTAATTAACATGGGTGATTAGAAATCAGATTTATCTCAGCTCAAAGTCTCTGTATGTTAAATAGTTAGTTAAAAAAAAGCAATATATTTGATTAATCAAAGTATTATAAGAATTATACTAATTGCCTATAATTTTCCTGTAATATTTTAAATATCAAATTCTTATCTAATAGTCAGTGACATAATGTATTATTTTTTGTGGAAATAGTCTTTATTTGTTATGTATTTTACTAATATTAGGTCACAACCATGTAATGTTATTATTAAAGTGGATGATTATAAAATATCATACCAAAACTCACTTATACTTCTACCCTTCTTTTTGGAACCACCTTCCAAATAACATAACTTCTTCCAACTCTATTTGTAACTTTAAGTCACAGCTTAAGGCTATTCAAACGTGTTGCGCCTTTGATCTTGTTTGTAATTGGCGCCAAATAAATTTTAGATATTAGTGATATTATTTAATTTAATACTGCCTTGTACAATGGTTGTACAGCCGTCAGCTGATGAATCCAACTTGGCTTTCTGTGAGCGATAAAGTATGCAACACTGTCTCCTGATTGGCGGTGGCAGTCTGAGCAGATCGTCATTAAAAACTATTTATTGTGCGTGCGTCGTGCTGTTGCATTCTCCATAGAATCGCAGTGAGTAGTACCCAGATTAATTTCCAAGGAAGCAGTTACAGTAGTGATTTTACATTGTAGAAATCCATATAGACACATATTCATAAATAACAACTGTAAAAAGTAATACTAATTAACAAAAGTACATTTCAATTGACCAGGTCATAAGTGGAGATTGTAGTTTTAACAATTTTGATATTTTGGTTTGTTTCAACCTCTAGTGGCCCAAGGCTTGGAAGGCAAACCAGATTTCATGTTTGTCCTCTTATGCATTTTGGTAGCTACAATATATTTAATTATTTGTGTATAAGATTCTGCAAATACACCAACGCAAATTTTTTCTGTTTAATACTGCAGTTATTGATGTAATTAAACAATGATGTTATTAAAAATTATTAAAAACCAGGTCAGATATCATCTTTTGGGAATAAAAAATTGATTAGCAGTCTTATTTAGATGGTTAATTACATCTCTTGTTACCACATTATCAAATATCTTGTTCAGCATTCAACAGCCGTCCAAAATTTGAAGCCATAAGTTTTAGGTCATCGACCTTGGATGAGTCAAATGTCTTCCGAGGTGTCTGTCCAATCTGATCGGCATTTACTTTTAGTTCTTCTTGCAGGGTTGTGCACTTGAGCGTCATTGCTTCCACCTCTGGTTCGGAATATTGACGGAACGTTTTTAATTCGCCCTCAAATTTTGTCCAGAAACGAAGGTGCCTCTGTATCTCAGCGCGACCTTTCTCCCGCTTTGCCCTGTCTTTTTTCACTTCCAGATTGACTGATGCTGTGAAATTTCAATATTTAAAAATATGTATTAAAGAAATATTCATTCTCCTTTAATAGCGACTAACCTTTAATTAAACTTTACCTGATGAGAATAAACTCTATGAGGATTATAGCATCAGATTGTTGTCTATCAGACTTTTCTAATGATGTAGGGCTTGTCTGAATTTTAAGATCCATGGATGCAGCCATGGATACTGTACAGCTATAAATAGCCATGGATACAGCCATGGATACAGCTATTTATACAGTCATTGATATAGCCATGAATATAGCCATGGATATATTGTAAAACCTCAAATAGAAGTACAATGGGCTTACTTGAGAAGAAGCCCATCTCAATTTGAAGCCCCCTCTTTAGTTTCCATGGGCTTCTTTTCGAGATAGTACAGTACATACACTGTAAATGTTACAGTGGCCCTATTTATTGTTTTATTGTAGTAATTCCCAAAATTCACAGCATTAATTTACTTTGCAAAAAAATTCCATCCAAAGATCTCAAAAAAAAAAAAAAAAAGGAAGAAGCCCAGGGCTTCTATTCAAGGTTTTGCAGTAGTGGATACAGTCATAGATACAGTATTCATGTATATATGTATATGATTGAATATATTGAACCATGAACAGTCGAATATAGGCGTGGATAGAGCCATGGATATAGTCATGAATATAGCCATGAATATAGCCATGGATATACTGTAGCCATGCATATAGCCATATACAATCATGAATATAGCCGTGGATAAGCCAATGAATACAGCTGTGGATTTGTTTGATCAGATTGATTGATGGGCACATGCTAACATGATGGGCACATGCAATGTTTTTGTTTCCATGGTTACTTTAAATGTGTTTAATTTTAAATAAAATATATTCTGTATTGATATATATTTAAAAATTATGTTTGAGGTTATTTATTTAATAGACAACTCCCCAACAAATATCTTATAAAATCTTTACATTTCAATAGACATGAATTAACGTTTGAATAAAATAATTGTCTTACCTATGACATCCTTCTTCCTTGTCATTAACGTTTCAACAATTTCACCAAATTGTGCTTCAATCTGCGATTTAACCTTTCCATAATGCTTTTCTGTTTTGTGAGCCTCGGAGTTCTCTTGGCGAGCCATATTTTTTAAGTCTTTGCGCAATTCTTTGACTTTAGTGTATAGCATTTGCTGTGGCGGGTTAAGTCGCGCTGTAGTTGGGCTTGGAGAACGCCGCAGAAACTTAGGACTGCTTAATGGACTCCTACACTTTGAGTTTAAATAGTCCGGTTTCTCGACGCATAGGCAACTAGGCGTTTTGAGAGAGGGAAGGAAGTTAACGCAATTGCATTCGGGGCACAAAATTATCTTCTCATTATTTTTTGTCGTGATTTCTCCAATGCATTCTTGACACAAGGTGTGTTTGCAGTCCAGTGTTTGGAGTTTATCTGTCGGAATGTTAGGGTCGCAGCATATAATACACTGTAGAGATCTGTTGCTGTTTATATCTGTCATGCTCTACACCACTGTGTTCTACTGCGTCTAAAAATGTGGACTGCATCAAGATAGAGAAGAAGAAAACTGAATATTAATTGTTTACTTCCTAATCATCAAAGTGGTAGATTCAATTGACCTTTTTATCCTAGTAACCATGTACATACTTGACACTATTTGCTGTAGTTCCAACTGAACTGTATTTCATAATTTTAATTAATGCGACATATTTTTACTGGCCAAAGTGTTTTCATTATGCCAGCATCCCACTGGCTTGTATGATTAATTAAATGATATTAATTAATGCTATTTATAATAGTTCATTTCATTATTGCACCTCCAGTAGGATTTGGGTAAAGTTAGTATAAAATATAATAGTAATTAATAGGAAAACAATATAGTAATAATGATACAGTAGAATTCTGGTAATTGTTAGTATTAAATATAATAGTAATTAATAGTAAAAGCAACAGTAATAATAGTAACAATAGTAATAATGATACAGTAGAATTCTGGTAATGTTAGTATTAAATATAATAGTAATTAATAATAAAGCAACAGTAATAATACTAACAATAGTAATAATGATACAGTAGAATTCTGGTAATCTTAGTATTTAGTAATTAATAGTAAAGCAACAGTTTAGTAGTAACAATCGTAATAATGATAGTACTATAATAAAGAATAATTAATAATAAAACTAATAAGCATTATAAGAATCTAGTGTACTATAATGATGGTAATTAATTATGATTATAAAGTAAACATTAATGATAATTCTTAATTATTTAAAACAGGGTTGATGACTTGATGAGCTTGTTGTCTGAATTAATCTTCAAATAGATATGATTGTTTAAAAAAATCTATATAGTATATTATTCAAATTTGATCATACCAAGATTATGATCATCTCAGGATGTAATTCTACAGTACCAGCCAGTCTTGGTATAATCAGTGGTTTTACCAAGACCTTTGTTTCCAATGAATATACAAACATGTTGTAATAGCTTGGTGTCAGATTGAAACAAAACAATGCTATAATCAAAGATTATGCCAAGACTTTATTCCTTATGAAATAATAAGTACAAGTATAGGATGTCCCACTGGTTAATTCAACAGATCTTAGTTTTGGTTAACAAAATATAGGCTGTACCGAAATTGTGATCTCCAAAGTATACCTATTGTTATGTGCCAAATATAAATGTTGGTATTGATAATGGTAAAGATAGATATGCATCAATAGGTCTACTTAAATGTTATTTGATGCAAATCACATATTGTACACATACTAATTCTTGTGTGCAATTTTAAGTAATTTTACAGATACTTTTAACAATTCATTTATACACTTGGAAAATCCAGCATTTTGATATATATAATTTGATATATATATATGATTTGATATATTTTAACATCAATTTTTTCCGTTAGAAATAATAAATTGTGTTACTTACAGTTATAATAAAAGTTTTAAGTACTGTATCTAAGTAAATTCTGACGGATCTTGAAATGACAGTTATTGGATCCACGTCGCATATATTGAATGAAACTTTCTTCTCACACATGAATAGCCAGTCAGTTCCCTATTCACAGATATTCAAACAATTGTGAATAACCTTGCACTATTTTCACTGCTTGTTAAGCTTCAATTAATATCCATACAATGTTTTCCAGTTGATTTAATTCAATATTTCTCTAAAATCTGTCTTGATAATTATGTAATGTTTTATGATTCACATCAATTAAACTGATAATATTGTTGGTAATTCCTTTTGTATTAAGTGTATCTAATCTAATTTACATTTCCCTGTTATCAGATAGTTAAATTCTAAGTAATGAGCATGTACCACTTATCGGATGGACTAACAATTCAAACTTGTTTTTACCTATAAAATTGCTGAATCACTAATTTTCCTTGGAACTGATGAAATGAGAAGTTTATTAAACTGTGTTCAGTTATCCATGGTAATGAAAATATCAAACAAACAAATGTCCATTAAAAATGTGTACCAAAGTCATACTTCCAAAAACTTTGCCCATGAACTTTGGCCTTTTGTGAAAGTAGTTATGCAGCATCATATACTGTAGTCTAAACTTTCCTTTCCAGATGTAACCCAGCGGTTGCTTCAGGAAATTGTTAACTGGGTCCGACATGTCCAATGGGGGGGTTCGAACCATGGGCCGGAGTAGAGCCTCGGTCAGGGTCTCGGAATAAATAAATTCACGGTGTAGTGTTCACGGGTAGTGTTTTTATGGCTTAGTATGACACAAGGTGTGCATTTAGACCACAATATTAGGAATTGGCGATCGAAATAACATTATTTGGATAGGCAAATATTTATATTTGATCCAACAATGTTGTCATGGCATCGAAACAACGGGGGATAAGGCCACTCCAACAGGGGAAAACTGGCACACCACTGATTCAACCAAACATTTTCGTATCTATTTTGGGGTCCAGGGAATTGTGCCTCTAGAAATCCAGAAGTTTTGTTTCATTTTAATCTCTAAATTATAATTCACACTTTCTTGACTGCTGCCAGGGGAGGAGCAAACACCCCATTTCACCATACTGTACCTTGAACCGCCATTAATTTTTTTTTTTAGGCTAAGTAAGTAGTGCAGTCATGTATAATTGCTTAGCCAGGCTACAGCAGCACAAAGTGGGTTTTTTAAAAACATCTTTTCTTTTATTACGCCATGTGAATTTCAGTCCAATCTCAGAGCAAAACTTATACCATCTACATTTTTAAGCACAGACTTTATTGCAAAATGATAAAACAAATACTTACCATTCACCACTTTAGCTTTTTATACATTCAGTATTCCCTTTGATGTTAAATTATTTCCACCTGTAACGAAATTTTAACTCAAAATGTCAATATTTTTAGTATTCTTTTTTGACTTATTGAACCGTTACTGATGAAAAGATTTAGACTTGCGGTACCGTTTCGATAAAATTTAACAGTAGCAGTTACTGTGCATCATGAAGTCACAATTACCATATTAGTTCCAGTGTGCCCAAACCACATACATTTTTAATGGATTTTTTAGTAGTAAGATGTACTATATTTGATTAAAAATAAGGGGAAAAAGCGAAGAAATAATATACATGTCTGTAATTGTATAGTAAAAATTGTGTTTGGCGCTATATTTTTAGAATCATCAAATATGAAAAAAATAATAGAAATATATAAAAACAAAATTGTTTTCATTGACAAGAACAAGCATACAATTTGTTGAATGTTGATATGAGTAACATGTATACACAAAAGTAATATTAACAATTTTATGGCATACAACGTTATGTATGTTTTTGTCCTTTTGCGACAACTGTTGAATTGGCTCTAGTAAAATATTCCTCCTTAAAAGGTGGTTAAGATAATGTAATTTCCTATGAAAAGGATGAGATAAAGTTCGTATACGTAGATAATTTTGGTATGATTCCTACTGCATATTCTGCCCATGTAACTTGGGATCTGGACACATTTTAAATGCATTTTAGTTATACTAGTCAGTGATTTTTAGGTAATTAAAAAAAAAATATGAATGGTTTTATATTAATATGGTATTCTCATCTGGTATTGGCTCTTGATCTGATCCATGGGTCATGGACTGCCTTTTTTATTTATTTATTAAAAATTTAGCCATGACAAACAAAAGTATCAAACAATCAAAAAAAGCAAGACTAAAAAAACCAAACAGGTGCAGAACATATACAAAGTTAGTCAATGCTAAATAAATAACAAATATTTATATAGATGTTTATGTACCTTCTGTCAATGGATACTATGCATCATTAAGTCACAGTTACCATATTAGTTCCAGTTTGTCCAAATCACTAAACATATTTTTTAATGATTTTTTTTTAGTACATGTAGTAGGATGTACAGTACTATATTTAATTTAAAAAAAGTAGAAATAATATGTGTCTGTAAGACATGTGAAAGTGGTAATAGTAAAATATGTGTGGTACTAGATTTTTAGAATCATCAAAGATGAAAAAATAGAAGATAAGATACTCTTTATTGGTCTATTAACATATAAAGATACATAAACAGATTTAATCTGGCATAAAATATTAGAAAATACATTAACACCAAACCGATCATATTACACCAAGCAAACATCAAATTTACAAAATGCAAAAAGATAAAATATTTTAAAATAAACATTAGGGCTAGAAGTAAGTGAAATTAAAAGTAGATAAACAACATTGTTACGCTACTACTTATTACATTATTTAAATATTATATATTACTTAAAATTATAATTATTATATAAATTTAAATTTAAAATATAAAAATAAAATTGTTTTCATGGACCAAAAAAGCCATGTTCGTTTTAATGTTGAGAGTTGACATAAATAACATGCATAGACAAATCAATTTAATTAAAAGTTTTAATAAATAGTATAATGTCAGTTGTATGATTTTGTCCTTTTGTGAACACTGTCGAATTGGCTCTAGTAAAAATATTCCTCCTTTTTAAAAATATTCAAAGGTGGATTCCTACTCCATCTTCTGTCCTCATGGCTTGGGATCTGGACACATTTTAAATGCTTTTTATTTATACTCACGGTATTTTAGATATATGAGTGGTTTTATATACTGTATATTCCCACGAATAAGACTAGGCTTAAAATAGGAAATTCGATCGAAAAACATGCAGTCGTCGTGTACATGCAACACATACAAATTTTTGATTTTTAAATCATTTTAAATTAATTTTTTCACTTCATTAGCTTTGATTATACTTTATGTATTTTCAACATTTTATACTCATATTAAAATTCAGATACCATATTGCAAAAAAATATAATTTTTTAAATATGTACTCCTTTTAATTTATTTCCAGCGAAAACATTTCACATGAGTTTGCATTCCATCTTGAAGTGTATTCCTACAATCTACACAACGATTTAACAATTGCTAGCACGCCGCAAAAGATACGTCGTAAGCTCAATTCCTTCTCCAACTCGCTTGGCAAGAGTGCTGGCAAGAAAACACAAGCAGCTATGATGACCACATCAATAGTGAGTTATTTATCATTTGATTACATTGATGTTAATATTTATTTATTTTTTATTATGAAGAAAGTGTTTTTTTATTTAATTTTTATCTTACATTTCAGTCTCTTTCACCAAACAATTATTGACCATATATTTAAGTCAAACTTCTGATTTACAACATTCCAACCTAGAGAATGGTAAAGGATTACTGTATTTTTGCTTTTACTACCTACTTGTATTTTTTGTTTTTGAGGTGAAGTACAGTAACAATTGAGATATATAATAATTTAATGAGAAAAAAATGCTAATTGCAGTAATTTTTAAGCCTACCTTTTATCAGCAAGCCCTGGATCATTTTTATGTGAGAATGCATTAAATAATTAATTTCAATTTATAGCAATTTATAAAAAAAAAACACATGCATTACCTACTTGCTGGATATATGAACGAATATAATATATTGAAATACAGAAAGAATTCTTGATTTCTGAGACTCATCTGTTGATACAATACTAAACTGTAACTTCATCTTATTCTTATGGTCATTCTTAGAATGTCTGTAAATTTTTGCTTATTGGGTTACTGCCTCCTTTTTATACCTTTTGTTTATACCTTCCTGCTAGTTTTTTCTCAATGACCAATTGAAACCCATTGCTAGCTGTCTATTTGAGTGCTATTAGCGGACTCTTGAGAGTGTCTGCTTTACAATGGAAGAAGTTAAAACAAAATGAATAATTAAACCGTTATAGAAATTTATTGGAATTTGTTCCATTTGAGGGAGCGATGATCATTATCCTATCCATATGTGTTTTGCAAAAAGCTATTTATAGATGGTCTTGAAGCTTAGCCAGCTTTAATCATGATGTAGATAATGGGCTGTAATTAGATTGTGCAAGTCTACTAGGCATGTTTTTAGCCTGCTTGCCGCCAGCTATGTTAGCCTATAGATATATCTATCAATTTAGATTCATTCATGAGAATTGACAAAATTTCCCTTTCAAAAAGGAAGAAACACACCTTGTCTGAACCAAACAAAAGTACTTTTATTACCAGTACCAGTCAATTTTACAGTATGTGTTAAGGATATAAACAGCACACTCTTAATTGGCCGAGACTTTTTTTATAACTTGTTTCTCAAACTTATTTTTTTTAAAGATCGTCAGAGGAGGGCGGGAAAAAATTAACAGACTGTTTTACCAAAAACATCCAGACAGAGTAGAAAATAAAAATAAAATTTTATTGATGAATGTCAACAGTGTAGTAATAGGATGGTTAAATGCTTTAAATTTATATAATTAGTGAAGAAATATACATATATTATTTTTGGATATTTCAAGGCAGCGGCATAAAAATATAAAAAAACCTTTTTTTTTCTGAAATTTCCATTTTTTCGTGGCGGTGGGTGCTTTAAGTCTCACCTTGACAAACAAAAATGTTTTCTCAAAATGTTCTAATAACAAAGTAAGCATTTTAAAAATAATTAATTGTTTTAAATTTAACAATAAAATAATTATTTTTATTTTATTGGCTGAGTACAGACATTGTGTCTATATATTAACAGTATATTTATAGTTTAAATCCATTGGGTGTAATATAATATTATATGAGACAATGATACGTTATGTCTGTTTTTAGATGGTTTGTCAATTTTTGATTGATTACTCTTCTGTTTTCTTTAACGTGTGTTAATGGTTCCATGTGGATGAACATATTACTTGTTAAATTCCCTTCCATCTTTTGTGGATCACTCTCTGAAGTCTCTTGCGTACAAGGATTTATTTTTAAAAATTGTAATTAATAACATGGTACTTTTTATGATGCCATTATGTTATCCATTGATAATAATTCCTACCTATGGTCTTCTGGGAACCATATAAATTTAATGGGTACAAGGTTTACCATTGATTAGAAATGAGATAGTTATCATGCTTTTTCCAGAAACTTTTACATTATAATTTCTACAATGCCGGTGTTGACAAGTCTTCTGGAAATCGTAAGAGCTCCCCCCCCCCCCCCCGGAAATCGGGATGGCCTCCCACACTCCCGTAAGCGAGTAAGACTCTCCAAAGATATAACCCATCGTCCGCATTCTTAATATTTGCATGTTTTTACTATTTTATTTTCAATTGTCCCACGGGAGTCAGTGCCGATGGGTATCACTGTCCACAGCGAAATAAAATAATTAAGATATGTCAAGGAAGCTCATTTAACCAGATCTCCGGGAAGGGATTTCTTCTAAATTAGGACCCCTGCAATGGACAAATAAACAAAGTGAAATAAAAAAGTTATAGTTTAAATTTAGTGTGTGCTACTTTTCGTACACAAGAAGAATGGACAAGTTCAGCAAGTTAATTTTTTTTTTTTTGAAATGCTTTCAATTTTTTTCAGACTGTTGATGATGCAGTTACACAAGGTCCACGTTTCAGTCTGGTTGCGAAGGCTAAGCTCAGTCTAAAGGATATATACAATGGGATTAAGATCCATGATTTGCAAGTGGAACAAGGTATATTAAAAGAAATATTTAATAATAAATTATAATAAATAATAGAATACTAATAAAATATATAAAATTTAATCATTATTATTACAGGTCTCCCTTCATTTGGGACCAGGATTTCAATGGTCTGTAGTAGCAGTTTCAGTCTCTAGTTAGATGAAAATAGAATAAAATAACACATTTGTTAATATGAGACCACAGAAAAGTGGTCTTAAATTCGAGGTGGCCTTTAATTTAGAGAGGTCCGGTATTAGAGGGAGAGAGATGTTTATTATAAATAAAGAGGAATTTGGAGATATCAATTAATTATTAGAAGCCATGACCAAGAGTACATCAAGCATTCTTTACCTTCTCTGACCATACAACGCGTTTGTGTTCAGAGTCCCTATGGTAATTTGAAATCAGCAGTTTAAATGGTTTTACTGGCAGTAGACTTGCATAGCACATAATACAAGTCACTATGCACTTTCAATAAATGTTCAAAAAAAGTTGAAAAAAGAAATGTAAATGGAAAAGAGACAAAGAAAAATGGAACAAAAACCATAAATAAAACAATTAAATGGAAAAGAAATATGAGTTTTAAGTCTGGTCTTAAATAAGGAAATGGATAAATGTTTAATAGAAGTTGAAAAAAAAGAAACGTATAAGATGGAGAAGAGACAAAGAAAAATGGAACAAAAACCATAAATAAAAAAATTAAAACAATTAAATGGAAAAGAAATATGAGTTTTTAGTCTGGTCTTAAATAAGGAAATGGATGGAGACTGTATATTAATGGGAAAAAGTTCCAAATATTTTGGAGCAGCGCCCTTGTGTGTGCGCCCACCATATGACTTCAGCTTGCAAATATGAGTAGAAAGTGAGGAAGAGCTAGAAAATATTCTTTTAATCACAATATTATTTAATCTCCCCTAGAAAAAATGTATTTCTTTGGATACTTGTGATCATCACCCATAATTCATTTATTTTCTTAAGTATTTCTAACGTTAAATATAAGGTTCATGCTGTTCTGAATGAATGACACAGATAATACTGTATCCAAGACACAATTCTTTATCCACTTCAATACTACTACAGTATCAAAACAACAACATGAGATTGTGACAACATGCTTTCAATGGTAGGCTTATAGAATATCAACAGTGATGTTTCTACTGATCCCCATGGATTATAAGAAGTAGAGTCATGGTCATGCCTTCTTAATGCACTTAGTTGTAAATCTGTTAAATATAATATTAAATACAGGAGAAAGCTGATGATTGTGATATTATTACTATAAATGTTGCATATTTGTTTATATTTATTAACGTACATTAAAAATAATAAATGAGAATGATAATAATGCTGACAATGGATGTGAGAATATGGTAATGATAGTGATGGGTATGGTGATGGCAATGGTGATTAGGATAAGTTTGAAGGATGATAATGTTAATTTTCGTAATTAGAGAGTAATGGCTTGTTTTGGTTTTCATCTCTGCCCTAACAATTAGTAATTGATAAAAATGATTTTCAACAATTATTATTTAGCCAGGATAAAGTACTATACTTAAGCCATTGTAGTAACTACTATACTTACCGTATTATATACTGGCTAAATATTTTAAAAATTTCAAATGAATATAAATAATAAATAACATACCTGGTATGTGGCTTTCTCAGCAATTTGTAGACTTGAGGTTACATATGTATGGTTGCATCTGTATCCAATGGAGGGTGTGTTTCTACTGCTTAAGGAAAACAATTTCTACGAATGGTTCTTTAAAAGACTGATTTCCTGTGTAGGTAGAAACAGGACCCATGGAAAATCGCATACTTTCAATTTGCACAAAATTGAAAGTATGCGATTAATAATAACAAATAATAATAATTGTTCTGTAGTTTTTGTAGAGAGAGGCTACCAGGTAGTCGTGAAAAATAGCACTTTAAATATACACTATATAAATCTTAATATTATTATTATTTTAATTACTATTTCATGGGAAAAAGTACAATATTTCATTCATGACTGTATGTGGTCACTCTTCTCTTAGATGTAACATGTCCTCATAGACTAAGGATCTATGGACACTTCTGTTGTCGATTAGTAGCTCAGCCAACATGCATGATGGAAGAAATGGTGTCTGGGTATCTTAATTTCCAGGTAAGTCATTTAGAATCCCTTCCACCCCTCTGCCCCTCCCACCCCAAAAAAAAATCCCCATAATTTTCACTCAGTTTTTTCTTTATTTTCAAAGAAGGTGAAGTTATCCTTTTTCTTTCCCTTTCCTCTTTCTTTCTTTATTAGGTTTTTCCACACACAAAATAATATTTAATAACAATTCATAATTTCAATATGAGAGAAATTGTTATTGTCGTGATGGAATAATAGACATTAACTGGATTTGCGTCTGGAGAAACATGTATAGGTGTAATTTTGCCCTACCTGACGTGGAAATTTGTCTTAAATGTTCAACTAATTTCTTTCCCCCCGGATACATTTAGTATGCATTACCATGATCACTTCCTCCTTAGATTTTATGGCAACACTCCTTTGGAAATGGCCTACAATCTCATGATAAGAATGGAGGCTCGGCTGTTAATCTGATAGGACCACTTCATGTATTATGACCTTCCGCAATTGCCTCATACACAGGTCCTCTGGGATGCTCCGCAGCTAAGATGTTTAATTTACTAAAAACAGGTGCTGCTATGATGATAATAAATGTAACATACTCTGAAGGTCTTTTATAGGCCTACTATTTTATTCTCCACTGTTTAAATTTCGAAGATTTTATCACAGATGATATGAAGGAAAATGTGTTTTTAGTTGTTGGTATTGTGATTAATGATAATATGTTGATCAAGTCTTCTGCATCACAATCACAATATAAATGATAATATAGTGAATCTGAATCTGTAACTAGTCAATCTTTTTTTTTTCTTCATATTTGGTACATAGCATATGTCTATTTTATGTTTTATGCACCAACTTTTAATGTGATGCATTCTTAAGTACTAGTTGATAAATTAAGTCTCCATTCCACCCTGGTCCACATCTAACATTCCAGTCCAGCCTTGTTTTCACTACCTTGTGCTTGGTTATAGTGGAGTTAAATAGTTTGGTAGGTAAGATGCTTGCCTTCCAATCCCAGGGTTCAATTCCACTGATTCTCAAGACCAATTTGACTGCACTCTCTAAACCTCATATTGAGATTTAGTTTGTGTAAAGCATCGTGTGTGTATGTTTGTCATGTGCAAGCGATTGTCACCCACAAGTAGGACAGGGATATATTCGCTATTTGACAATCCTTGGTGCATGTATTGTGCTCCTGAATAAATAATAATAATAATAATAATTATAATAATAATTATAATATAATAATAATAATAATAGTTAATAATAATTTAATAGTGTATAAGAAAGTTTCTAATCAAATAATCTTTAGAAACAGATAAATTTAATAAATGTTATGATAAACCAATATCAAGAAAGACATTCATTGAAATTTAGCATCAAAATGCTAGCTAGATCTAGAAGTGCACAGCCTTGTCTTTGTGAGCACTAGACTAGATCTTAGCGCCACACCTGTAGACTCGCTATTACTTGGGGTAAACTCATTCACAAAGTCAGCACGATTTTTGTGTTTGGGATATTATCCCAAAAGGTTAAAGTTTAGGTGGTGGGTTATGAACTTATACAGAGTGAAATACACTATAAAATATTAGAATACAATAGTAATTACTGTATAGAAGGTGAAAATGACAATTTGACACCTACAAAATGGCTGTTATAGTTGCGGAAAGTGCCGCTGTGCAAGGTTCATAACCTTTCACTGCAAACCTTTTATTTCAAATGGACAGCAAACAAAATGTTGGTATAAAATTTTAAAAATGTGTATGTATGTACATTTTGAATCTTCATAGTAGTATAGTAGCGTGTTTCAGTTATTCGGAAATTGAATGTATTACAGTACATTAGCACGCTAGATATTTTATTTGTATTAACTTTGTTTAGGTATTAGCGAGGTTCAGTATTAACTACAGTACTATTTCTCTTTTTTTTTCTTATATTATCAGGAGATTGTAGGGACTAAGACGCAGTGGACTCGTAAATGGTGTGTTCTGAGGGAGGGTAAGCTAAAATGCTGGAATAAACCAGAAGATGTTGGTAGTGTAATACCGGTCACTTCAATTAGGATACAAAGGGTATGATCACCTATCTAATAAGCTACAATGATTATCATCTTGGTATTGGTATTAATATATATAATAAATATTCCACTATTATGTACTTTTGGTGAAATCTTTTTTAAATTGTGTGTTTTAGTATACCATTTTTCTGAAGAAACTGAAATCTCATACCTGCCTTGGAATTTTTCACACCATTTTCCCATTATATTCATAAGGCCATATTAATTTAATTGTCTCAAAGCACTCCTGTTTCCAAAAACCTAATACGGAATGCGTTTTTTTTTTTTTTTTTTTTTTTTTAATATTTTCTAATAAAAATATTTTTATTGTTGCACTGGGTCAATTTGAGTGAGATATATATTTTTTGGAAGAAAAATTTTATTATTAGTTTTTTTAAATGTTTCTACTTTTTTTAGACAAAAACAATGCACATGAACTTACTAATGCGCATGGGAGCTTTGAGACAAACATTTAAATTAATATGGCTTAATATTAATATATGCTCAGCTAAATAAGTAAAAAATAAAATAATTTTATTGTTGATAGGATACAGTAGTAAGCTCGACTGATCAAGCGGTACGTAAACGACTCAACACATTCCTGATGACGTGTAAAAACGGCAGTTTCAAAGTGAAGTACATCATAGCAACAGAATCCAACAGAGCTTTTTCAAAGTGGATTCAAGCATTTGAACAGCATTTTCTTGATACAGGTGAGTAAATTAATGTAAATAAGAATATTCATAATAGGAGAGAACAATGGTATAGATAAGAACATCAATGCAGGTGAGAACATTAGTACATGTGAGAATATTGATAGACATGATAACATTAATATGTGAGAATATTGGTATACTGTATTTATTCGAATAAATGCCCCCCTCCCCTCAAATATTCGCCTCTTCCAGATCCTCATTTGGAATAAAATGTCCCATGCATATTTGTTCCTAGAATAAATGCCCCCTAAATGACTGTAATGGAACATCATTCTCAACACATTCTATTATTGTTCTACTCAAGTAGAATTACTTTTTTTTCTAACCTGGTTGGATCAATAAGTCTTTGTGATCATACAATAACACATTTTTACGGTAATCAAGGGGCGTATACAGATCCGGTTTACACCAAAAAGTATATAAAGTTTCCCTCAAATATATGCCCCCCCCCCCCTGAAAAACCCTTCTCAACAATAAACGCGCCCCATCAAATAATTACGGTATGTGAGAATATTGATACATGTGAGGACATTGATATAATAATGTGAGAATATTGATACATGTGAGGACATTGATATAATAATGTGAGAATATTGATGCATGTGAGAGATTGATAGAGATGATAACATTAGTACACGTGAGAACATACATTTGTCACATAACACTTTATATAGTGGGGACAGAGCTTTACTCATTCTTGTATTGGTTGTGCCTTTTTGGTTTTCTTGTAGGGTGCTGGAAGGAAGCGTGTCAGTCAAAGATGTTGGTGAAATCTCCAAAGCCCAAGAGGATTGCCCCAGCCTCACCACCAACCAGGAAAGCATCCATCTATGAAGATTTATCCATAAGTAAGTCGAAGATCAAGTCACCACTTTACAGGCTAATCGTCTTTATACCCACTGGGACATAAAGCCGCTATAATATTTCCACCTGTTCTTGTCTTTTGCATAATGTGCTTTATCCAAATGTGACATTTATTTTAGTCATCACAGTCCTACACCAGGTGTTGTTTCGGCATTTCATGTTTTTTTTTTTGTCCAGGTGGTGTCTTTAGAGTAATCCTTTCTAAACAGGTGTCCCAGCCATAGGATACACCAGGACTTATTCCCTTTATGATACTGTGGCTTACTTTCCTACTGTTGAGCTTGGGGTGTGGTATCTTATTTGGCCAGGAAATGCAGCTTCTCTACAGTAGACATTTGTTGAGGAAGGCATTAATTCTTCTTATGTTGGACTTGGTGACCCTCCTTCATTTAGAACATACAGAAGGATGCAATCTACATTACTGTTATATAGTAGAGTCTTCAATTTCAAGCTGTACTAGTTCAACATCCAGGTGGAATGGTTTAGTTTCTTGCAATTATCCCTGTAATAATTTCAAGTAGACACTTATAAGGAAGTTATTAGTAGAAAAATAATTTTGTTTTCTTGTTTTTTTTTTCACTTTAGCAACCCCAGACAAGAATGAGAATATTGATGACGTTGATGGTGTGTTTGATGACTCCCCAGCAGATAATTTAAGGTCAAAAGTCAAGCTGCAGACGAACACAGAAGAAAGTACAAGTCCACGTATGTTAGGTAGAGAGACAAAGGTTTGAAAACAACTGTGTACTGCAAAAAATGACGCTGATGGGATCTCCTTCATGAATTGATTGTTATTATGGTGGAGGTGGTGGTCAACCTTAAAATAAATGTTTTTGTGTGCATATACTTTCCAGCATTATGGTATAAATTTAAAATTGCCTTTGCAATCATATTTTTATTCATGGTTTTGTAAGGCATGAATAAAGTCTTTTCTTGTTTTAATGCATCGAGGCAATAGCAGCTATAAATCAATTGTTATATATTGCATTGTGGTATATATATGTAAATATTCATTGAATTTAACCATTTTAATACTATTTTATATACAACAACTCAGTATTCCATTATTATTATTGTTATTATTATTATTATTATTATTATTAATTTTGGTATTGTTAAAATTATCATCATTGTTGTTATCATTATGTCACAGACCCTGTGATTATGTGTATAGTAGGTAGTTGATTTGACTTTCATACCACAGTACTTGTGGTTATACTGCTCTCACAGTTTAACATGATATATCTTTAAATCTAAATTTATGCTATTTAGACTGGACTTTTGTGATCAGTTTTAACAGTTACTATGACCAAACATCCAAACACAATCTTGTGGGAAATGCTCACAAATGGACTCTCCGGAGTGTCAATTGAACTTAAACAACTGACCAATCAGAACAGTTCCAAGAATACGCGCCTGTCCTACAAATACACGTACATTTATGTTATTTTTTTGTGGGATCTTAGCAACAATATCTGAAGGGCTAGGCTTAGCGGAATCGCAATTGTCAGCTGTTACAAATGGGCGCTACACGCTCTTTTTGACTCCTCATCAACATAGAATCCAATCCCAATGAATCGCAATAAATTCCAGAGGCACTGATCATCAGTGAACATGAGCCAATCATTGTAGTGGCATCAACCTATGACCTCATGTTCTGCTGTAAAGTTTGTTGTGTCCGAATGCACCCAAACTTTGCAATTGGTAGCGAATTGGATTGTAATCAGTTTTGATTGCCACTGTTGACATGGCAATGAATGGTCCTTTTAGCTAAGCCCCGCCCCTCGTATGTTGTTGCTAAAGTCCCACAAATCAACAGTGTTAAAACATACTTTATGCGTTTGTGGGACAACATGTGTGTTTGTAAGACACATGTGTAGTCCCGGCCCTCGTCTGAATGGTCAGTTGATATTCCGGAAAGGTGCAGAAGTCTAGTCTAAATAGGATATTAAACCGCCGCCTTTGTTCTCACTGTTACACATTATAACAACCTAATACTGTAGCTACAGTATATATAAACATAGGGCACCCAAAGGTTGCAATTGCTAGCAAACAGGAGTATTTATTATTACCACCTTTGACATCGCAACCAATTGCAACAGAAGTCTAGTCTAAATGGGCTATTAATTAAACTGTCACTCTCACCGTTACACACTTTAATGGCCTAACACATTTACTATATATAACCACAGAGCTATTAACTGAAAATAGACCATGGTTTAAATTAGTCTCCTAATGAGGTTTGAGAGTGGCTTTTATGGTGATTAAATTCTCGGTCAGTTATTTTCAGTGACCATTATGTGCTATCGCATCAATACCAAATATAGATAATGTATATTTTGATATAAAATATGTATAAAAAGGTGCTGGTCAATATGAGCAGATAACAAGTAGAATCAAGTAACATATTGAAAAATGATTACCATTTCATTTCTTACTTCTTTAAAACTTTCATTATTTACCAAAGTAAAGCCCTGTCTAGACTGTTAAATGTTGTTTAACAAAAACATGTGATATGCCTAAATATGGTCATGATGACATCACATCATGACCATATACAGCCACATTATGACTATATATGGGCATACAACAGTTTTTTATCAAAGAAAATTTGATAGTAGAGACAGAGCTTAAGAGTTATGCTATCGTGGAAGCCTACAGTATCCAGGTATAAAAAGCCTGGCCAATAACGTTCGACTAATTTTAATGTGAATGAAAATTTTGACACTGGTGTTCCTCAGATAACAAGTCTGAAAGTAAAATGAACCAAATATGAAATAAATTGTGTTAATATTTAGCATCAAAATACTAACTAGACCAATAGCCTTTGGCTTCCTAGGCCTAACCCTTGGTTTTTGTGTTTAAGGATGGGGGATAATATCTTCATTTATTTATTCATCAATAACTGTACAATCAACAATAAAAAAGATATTAAAATAAAATACAATGATGAAAGGGACACTTGGGGTGGGGAAAGACGAGGGGTGTATGTTTCAGTGGCTTTGGGTTATGATTTAATGGGGCTTTAATGTCTCTGGATTGGGTACTCTTTGATGGAGTTGGGAAAATGATTGGGCCATGTACATTTTTATTAAGTTGATCGGGGATAATATATTTTAATTGTATTCAAAATGTTTGTAGCATTAGGACACTTTTTATTGGGTTGAGAGAACTTGTAGGGGTGGGTGTGTTTTAAGTGGGTTGGTGACATTTGTGTGGAAGATAATTTTAAATAATTTTAAACTATTTAAAGATTGTCTCTACAGTGGGGTTGGGTTTTGAAGTATTAATTTTGTTTTGTTTTGTTTTACTATTACAATATTGTCAGTAAATAATATTGATAGTAAGTAGTAATAAGTAGTAATAATATATATGTTTCAAAGATTTCTATAAAATCTTGTAAGTTTTATATTTGTGAAGTATCCAGGGTTTAATGGTGCTTATACTCTGTCATAAAACCTTCATAAATAAAAACCTTAATTACATTAATTTAGGGAGTAACCTAAAATTGCTTGCTTTTAAAATATGGTGTCACCAAAAAAATTCATTGTTATCGTTATTGTAATTAACAATGTTGTATTGGAAAATTTAATGTAATTGTCAAGTAAGGGGGGTTTTTTTAAAATTTTTTATTAAAAAAAATAAAGAATACACTAAAATAGAATTTGGGTTAATTAATGAATACTAATTTATAATTACAATTATAAATTATATTTATTCGTTAATATGCAAGCAACCTATTTAAATTTACATATAAAAACTCAAAGGTACTAAATTGAATTGTGTATACCAAAATATAAGTGTAGGGGAGTGTTCTCAGTCCTTTTGTAAACGGTGTAGTTTTGTTAAAATGTGTTTCTACGATTAAAAATAAAAGCGGTTTTTTATACTTAATTTGAAAGCTTACAATTATTGTGAAATTTTAAGATTAACTTAATAAATGCAGACTTAAAAAATAAGTTCATGCAACCGTCATGTTATCTCCCATATTTCTACAGTCCTGTAAAAATAGAATGATTTGCTCTGTCCAAACACACAATATGGGCTAATCATATAAAATTTTATAATGTTGACAGACATTAAATAGAATGCTTAGCTCCGTCCCAAACACACAAAGTCACACCCATAAATATGGGATAATCATGGTGTGGACAAAGTTTAAATAGAATGTAGACCTCTGCAGTGGCATATCTAGATGTCTTGAAATGCCGGTGCTGATATGAGAGGGAGGGGGTCGAAGGTGAAGTGGGGGACTCGATGGTCAGTTGAGGGGTGCAAATTCGCGAAATAAGGTAATTTTTAATTACTTGACAGTGATTTTTGGGGTGACGACTGCACCCTCCTAGATACACCACTGGAACTGTTCATACTGTGAAGCTTTTATGTGATTTGCCCATATTTATCATGTTTTGCAGAACGAAAAAGGGTATTTGTAATAAATGGAAACTAAGTAGGAAGAAGGCAGAGACCAACAAAACAAATTTTGTGTTGGCCAGCCAGAAATATTAATACAAAGGGAGATGGATGTAAAGAAAGAAATAAACAGTAAAAAGTTGTACAATGTTTTTGGTATCATTTACTTGTAATGTATCACAAAATCTTTAAATGAATATTAAAGTTTTTGTAAATATGAGTGCTGCTTCCTTTGTGTTTGTTTCCTCGTGAAGATGTTGGCTTCATCAACAGGTTTAATTTATATTATTGATTGATTATTTTTTTTTAAATCGTACTAAATGTTCAATTCAACACCATTCTTCAACTTCATAGGTTTTGTGGTCCGATTGTACTAGTTTAATTGTCTTGCTCTGTTTATTTTGTTGAAATAAATAACCGCGTTTGCTCTAAAAGTATGTTTGCTGCCACCAATTTTTTGCGAGAAATGGTGACGTAATCAGGTGTGGTGCAAAACTAGAAAATGGACACCTGACCTGTTTGTGTTGATTTCTCGGAAGGGGTCACATTAACCAATAAACTGTCAGTTTTTGTGCTTTATGTGGAGGGTTTTTTAGTTCAATTTGATTCATTCTTCTAACTGGTTTGAGTGAAATTATTATCTTGTTCTATGTTTGTGTAGAAACAGCCTATATCTTTTGCCGCTAAAATACGACGTGCATCATATCACAGTTTGTAAAATCGGAAGTCAAGCGGAGCGACGTACGTTACACCAACAAGAGGAAGCGACTATCCTCACCGCCCGATTCCTGGTGAAGTGTAGTCAAAGTAGCATAGACTAGGCCTAGGGCCTAGCTACTTTTGTGGAAGAACTGACAACCTGTATGGTTTTTAGTGCAAATTATGCTGTGACTGAAAGTACATTTTACTTCTGCTGGTGTCGTCAGGAAAACATGACAAACAAATCTGTTTTTTGTGTTGAATAATCGACCCACTTTGATTTTGAGGAGTGAGAGTGAGTGAGCCTCTCAACAATTGACTAAAAAGTCAACACAGAAACTAGTATTTAAAATGACGTCCATTGGAGAGAGTATAAGGAGATTATTTTTTCGTGGAAGTAAACCAAAGAAACCTCAATATACTCAGTTAATAAGAGATAAAGACCCTGAACAAGAATGGGAGATTGTTGGCGAATGTGGCGACGGTGCTTTCGGCAAGGTTTACAAGGTAAGCAAAGGGTGATTATGATAGGCCTAGTAGGCCATAATAAGTCCTTATTTACTATATACAGGCACTGTGGTGAACTCAGTTTTTGTTGCTCCTGTATACTGAAGTACTACTGTCTACTAGGCTTTCTTTTTGAAAATTTGTGATACAGAAACAGGACCAGCATGCAGACAATTTCAGTTAAAATGTGCAGATGAAATTGGTAAAATTTATTTTAAAATTTTGGGGAAAGTTCTTGTAAAAAACCCCTCCCTGCTTTCCAATAATAATGCAGATTGCTACTTTTCAGTCTGGTTATTAGAGCCTAAATGTATACAGCACTAGACTATGAACCGAAAACTAGGTTCTCACTTGATTAACTTTCCATTCTGCATCCATGACATTGAGAGGCTTATGTCGTGAACAGGTGAATTATACTGTAAACTGGTCAACATTTTAAACCTACTCAAGTTACAGATTTATATCAGTCTTATGGAAGATTCATAGTTTTGAACTGTGGTTCAAGTTTTCTGTCATTAACACCCTGTGTTTATTAGGAACAAGAATATTTTTTGTTTGAAGAGCAATGGTGAAAGAAAACTACAAAAAGTGACAGTGACTTTTACAATGAAACTTGAAACTCCCATTGTTAGTATATTTTTTGCTAAGCTTTACTGAATTATGAATAACCTTGAGGTTTACAGTACCTGAACAAATTCCAACAATCGCCTGAGAATCAAATGGTATTACAACTGTACCTGCCAGCTCTTCACAGCAGTTTATAAACCATACAAATTCATAATTGAACATTTTAAAAAATGTAGACAGGATCAGTGTATGAGGAAATATATAAACTAAAATTGCTTTTGGTACATAAAAAAAAGTGGTTTGCAATGGCCTACTGTGTGTGACATATCTTAATAGAGTAAATGGAGCTTGCCATATGCCAATACATAATACATTCTCCACATACAGTAATCTTTAAAATGATAGGTCTTTTACTGGAATCGATTTACTATTTATGACAAGTAAACATATTATGGCTTTCTGCACTAAGTTACAGTACAGTATTATACAATACTGCAACACTCTAATGTAATTACACAGTTTAACATTTAGCAACACTACACTATAGTAGTTTTGGGATAGCAAGCCTCAAATATAATTTTTAGGGGGAAAATGAGGGGTATTTTGCATCAATTATTTTAACTCAGTGTCATAAAACTTGGAGAACACACATAAAAAATTAATATGCAATATTGAATACTATAGCTAAAAAGCGATCTTATAATTAAAACACAGATCGAAAAAATGGTTTTCGTTGATTCTCAGACTTGTACAGTAGTTGGGAAGTCTATATACCAGCCAATTTTTCTTTGCAGAATATCGGCTAGGGAAATTTTTTTTTTTATTTTTAATTATTTTAAACAAGCTGTCCAAGGTCATTTGTTTACAGTGAATAGAATATTATATTTTGACCATTCATAAACGACCAATTTTTGACCAAGAAAACGCTCAACGCGTTCACTGCCAGCGACGAGTATACTCGTCCCACAGGGTTCTGCTACGACTGCTATACTCGTCAAAACCAGGGTTCTAGCATTTATTGTAACTACATTGTTATACATTGTAGAAACACAGACTTAATGGCTGATAGTTCAGGGAAGATACACCTAGACGATAATATACAAATAACGTATTTATGTTTGTTGTGTTATGTTTTATAAAAAAAAAAGCTATATAAAATGCAAATAGTAAATAGCAGATTTAAGTTGTTTCAACCATGTTTATCTTGCATTACTGTACAGTATATAGTAATTGTGGATTAGGCTAGTTCTCATATCTTTATGGAAAACAAGAAATACTGTTCTATCCAGTTTGAATCCCATGTTGCTCTCACATGCTCCAGGGAAGAATTAAACCTAATTATCGGCATTTGGAACACCACCATTCTTCATGTAAATTCAGATGGATTTTGGCACTGTAGAAATTGCTTCTCACTTTCCTTGAATTGAGTTTGACATAAAAAATCAACAATAGGTCTCTTCATATGACAATAAGTTCATTGATACCAAATTATCAAACTGAAATCAGAGGAAAGTAAAACACTTTGGAGTGAGTACTGTTGTACTCCATCTGCAAATGTTAATTCCATCACCCTTTTAGAATTATTTTGCGTGTTATTAAAACTTTTAATTGTTACTGTAAGTATTGGTCCTTCAAACTTTAAAACCATATTACTGTATGTCAGAACTGGAGAAGACATGCTGAGACTTTCATCCTACAGTAGATAGATAATGACTGAAAAAGTAAAGCATGTATATATTGTGTCAGTACATCAATAGTGTGTCACCTACTGTGTATATGGCACCTATGGAAATGGCACTCATAGACTTGAGTAGAATTTTCTTTTTTTCTTAATTTTTGTTAAATTTTGAAAAATTTAAGGGGTGGGGGCTGGGCCTCACCTTAAATCCACCACTGGTTTAGTATATTAATTCAGTATTTATTTGACAATCGAATCTCTATCAGGTCTATTCATATTTTGTAACTTGAAGTTGTACTGTATATTGACGATGTCCAGGGTCAAAGCCTTTTATAATTATTAATTAATAACGTAAACAATTTACTATTTGATACATTGTCATAAACTCTAGAGTAGTAGAAGTCATGAAAATATTAATGAAAAAGAATTAGAAGCGAATAATTACCAGCTTTCATCAATAACGGTCAGCTTTATTTACAATTCTTGAAAAACATGTGAATGATACTGGATGAATGTATACATTTAATAATTTTCATCTATTTATTTTATTTTATTATTTTTTACATAGTTCTCCCGGGCCCCTGCCGGGCCTGGGGCACTTACCCTGGCCTCTCGGCGCCACTGCTTAGCCAGCCTAGATCTCAATGAATGAGGGTTATTCGAGTTTATTCCCGGTTATTCCCAATTTAAAAAACCTGGCACTGGAGTCAGGAGTCTACAGCACAAGAAGCATGAACTATACCTTTCGAACAACCGTTCAGCTCTACAGACTTAGTAGACACTTTAAATGACACCATAAAAATCATTGAGCATCTTAGAGTACCATTTTACAGTTAATCTACAGATAGCTTGTCATTAATTATTGATATACTCCATTAAGAATACCTTATACTTCTTCTACTGTATGTATAATGTTTATGTTTACGTCTGAACTTCTTGCTAAGACTAATTACAAGTCTGTACTTAATATGAAATGTTCAGAAGATCTTATAGTAGGTGCTGGTGATTGATTATTACTCTAAGAAATAATCTCTTCCCCCCTCCCCCCTCCCATCTCTCCTATAAATGTACAAAGTTCTTTGTAGAACATGAACCTTGAGTGTACATATGGTCAACGGCTTAAACCTGTCTTCCCATAGACAGCGTTAGGGCTTATACCTTCATAAAGCATAAAGGTGTTTCCCAGTTGAAACACAGTAAGAGCAGCCATAGAATGAACCAGGGACCCCACTTGACTAAGCTGTACCATTATCTTATCTCCTCCCTCTGCTCACTCTCAATCCCTCTCTCCCTGTTAATTATGCCATTGCCATTTGAGAGTTCGTAGAATTTTTATTGAGTAAGAAACAAATTTACAAAGAAATAAATATTCTAAATAAGTAGTTAATTAATATAAGTTGGAGGACCTATTAAAAATTACATAGGCCCTAGGCCATGGGTGGGCGTAAAAATCCGTTGGAGGGCCAAAGTGAATTTTTGATTTAACACCGAGGGCCGCATCCAAACTTGGATGTTTACAGTGTACTTCCAAAAACCTTCATGCATTGCTTTTATACCACTTTATTCTCAGTTTTAGCATTACTTTTTACAGATGATCGGTATCGAGCTGTAAAAAAGTTGATTTTTGGCCAAAAGTGTTTGGCAGGCCTCGGGCTACAAAAAATCACTTATTAAGCACTTTGCCCACCTGTGCCCTACAGTAGGCCTATATTATGAATTATTACCAATAGGTTAGGTCTCTATAGCTTTAGCTTAGTACTATTAGTTAGTAGGTTTTAACTGTTTTTCCAATACCAAGGTATGGCTTTAGTCTTTCCAACATGCCATGGTTTCTGTTACCATAGGAACAAATTTACTGAGTACTTAAGGCAATAGACCATCACATTTTGACTAGCATATTATTGTTTTTTACTTGCTGCTGACTGGAGGATAATTTTTTAAATAATAATGTAATATTTTTAAATCTTTTTGATTTTAAACTCAATGAACTCAAACTACAGTAAAGTGGTATTATAATATGACAGAATACCGATACTCTTTATTTTTATTTTGTGTTACATTCTTGAAAATATATTTAGTAATCAATGTTGATGTATTGTCACTTACAGTCAAGTTTTGAAAGTACTGTATGCTATCTATAAACTGTTAATGAAGGACGTAATTTCCTATTATCCTAACTCCCACAATATAGACACATACAACCTTGAATCAATGAATTGGATTTTAATAGAAAAAATTTTTATTTTTTATTGGAGAAGTTATGTAATATGACACAGTTATTTGACACTACCTTTATATTAATGTTTAGGTAGGCAGGTGAGTAGAATTTGATGTTTATTCATAACCAAGGTCGTATTAAGCAAACTGAATGATGACATGGGTCGTATAAGTCTGCATGTACCGTAACAGAATTTATCTGCTCTAACAAATTCAAAAACCAAATTAAAATTGATTACCTTAAATTGTAATATATCTTCAAACCTAATTTTAACTCTGTTCGGCAAAAATTACACATTTAATAAAAACACAAGTGACAGTTTCATTATAAAATTCAATTATGGAAATAGGGTGTTGTTTTGTTTAGAATTCGGAGCTATTGGAGAGTTACAAAAGTTGTGCTTTTCTGAATAGCTTCAAGCAAAGAATTACCTATACAGAAATTACTGGAAGTAATTTTTCGATTACATACAGTGTGTTGAAGTTGAAGGGAATGGTGATTGTTATAAACCTGCAAGTTAGCAGAACCCTATTAATG